AAGAATGCACGAACGGAAGGCTTTTTCGCCAATGACTGTTAGATAAAACAAATAATCTGCGTGATTCACAGTATCCACCTCGGGCATGCAAGATTAATACATGTCTCTTGATTCACATACATCTGTACATAAATTCGGCTTGCAAGTTGCATGTCTGAAAATGTATGAGACGTGCCTGTGTTCGTGCATGTACAGGCAACGTACGTATCAAGAAATTGGTCTTGGGTAGATGTCTGCAAAATAAAAATTAGATCAACAGGGATATTCAGAAATGAAAAGCAGTTAATTAGTGAATTTTACTTCCAGTTTTCATTTTTTATTTAGTGTTAATTACTTCAGTACCACACTGACAAAGACATATATGGCTCTGTCTCGGTACTTCTCACACGAGAGGGAAAAGCATTAAGTCGAAAACTTCGAAAATATCTTAAGTAAACTGTAATGTTTATATAACTACTACGCTGACAAAACAAAATGGTGAATAGAAAAATGAGAGGACAGAATGCATTCTGCCTGCTCAAACAATGCATGTGGCTTGAAGTACAGACAAAAAAAAAATGACCTGGTCTTGGGAAGGCAAAATATACCAAATAAACTCCAGAAAATACCGCAACGCCGAGCTGCATAAAAATAATGTCGGAGGGTCTTTATATCACTCGAAAAAAATGTTCGTTTTCCTATCGAAACCCATAAAACACACAAATAATTTTCAGAAGTCAGGAAGCTGTTTCAAACTCTCAGTCTACTATTTCCTGACGCGAGACTGAAAGGTTTCAGATGTGGAGAGCAGTTTTTGACACGTCAATTTTGTTTGGCATTGTGAAAACGCATTTTCAACTTAGAATAACCCTAGGAACAAGAAACACTAACAGATGATATCAAAATGTGTTCTGTAAAACTAGACAAAATCAAATAATCCTGATGGTGATGGGTATCACATATAGTTTTGACACGTCCATTTTGTCCACCATCCAAATGTTTTTTTATTTCGATATTTATTTCGGATAACAGTGGTTTCTTCACAGTGGCTGAGTACTTTTAAAATCGACTTTTCGCTTAAGTTTTAAATGCTGTTGAATTTCTAAGTCCAAGTCCTGAGCACGGTAGCCATGTCAAAAACTTTTCAAAACCACAGGGCTTTTCTAAAAAACATTATCTGCGATCGGGCACGCCAAAAATCACGGTTTTCTGGAAACCCTACTTCGAGCGATTTTAAAAATAATCTGAATGAGCGAAAAGAAAGAGCTTAATTCAAAATGTTTAAATACAAGACGTCATTAAATATGGTCCTATATTTCTTGAATTGGTAATCTCATGTGCCACGTCTATTATATGCATAAACCAATACTGGTAATAATCAATAGAAAATAGAATGATTTTATTTTTAAACGATTGGTCACGAGTTAGGATAGAATCTTTTATAGCAAATCCACGCTGGATATATGCATGTGTAGAATCGAGTCGCATAAAATTCAGTGTTTTATCTAGGTTTCGTTTTTCGAGTGGTAGATTGAAATTTTTGGAGGCGCTGTTGGCTAAAAAAATTTTACTAAAACGAAATTAACTGTTTATTTTCTACATTTTGGACGAATTTTGTTGTTAAATATAAATACGTATTTAAGATTGTACCATCTAATTCACACTTCGGTTGAATTAAATTTTTTAAATCATCGACTGATAAAGCATACTGATCAATAGCATAGCATACATTTTTATGAGACAATTGGCCATTGACTACGTTAATATTTTTCTTATCGGGCTCAGTATAACTTTCCATTTGCTAATGTCTAATTGTTTTTCAACAAGTGGTGAATATGTCTCAAGTGATCCTCCATTTGCTCATAGCAGAGCAACACTTGTGTTGCAACAGCTAGAAGTGTTTCAACTGAACCGTTTGATAGTGGTTCGAATCGTTTAAACGATTGAGTGATTCTGGTGTTTATTGTACCATTCTTTTTCAAAAAATGATCCCAAAAAACAGTAAACGGCTGTACTTAATAGTATCATTAGCGGATAGAGGATACTTCATAGTGTAAGAGCAATTAGTTTTGCAAACTACCAGTTTTTCCTTTTTTTGGATTTAGAGACCGAAAGGTTTATGAAAAGTCATTAACTCTTTGTACACCAGACACACTAATTAGCGTATGATCATTAACTCAAAGACGACAAAAGCTAGAGACCAGCGGTTTTCAGCGACGAGAAGAGGACAGTATAGCCTATGTTTTTATAAGCAAAACAGTTTTCCGAAAAGATTCAGAAGATAGGTTTTCTAGGGAATCTTTTCAAAGCAAGTCCGGATCTCCGGAAACTGAGATATCAATCTATCAGTTTTTTTTCATAGGCAGATAGTTCAATGTGTCCTCTCGAAAATGAGAACTAAGCGAACTCTTAATTTTTCTTGCTTCGAATGTGGCATCGGATTTCCTGAGAGCCCCAGGATCGATATCCCCTTAGGTGTGGTAATTCTGAAAACGAACGGAAACATAGGCGATCGACCACGCTGAATCTTGTGACGACATTTGTTTTCCAATTAACTTTCAAAAACCTTGTGAAAACTTATATTAGGCGAAATAACCCATTTTTACCTATTTTTGAGTAAAATTATAGAATTCATAACCCAGTCAAGATCCACCCAAATTATGTCAGAATAACAAGATGTACTCTGTTTTACCTGCTCTATATGTTTTTCTACTCAAGAATAGTAAAAAACATTCTTGTACTTCGGAGAATTTCTAGAAAACCTTTTCAAAAACCAAGGTATTTTCTGTTGACTTGTAAAGCTTATATTGAACTGCATAGTATTGAGCAGGTAAAATAGAATACACCTTGTTATTCTGACATAATTTGGGTGAAGAATTATAATTTAGCTTAAAAATGTACTGAAACGTGGGTTTTCACATATGCTTTATCAACTGGCATCCTTAAAAAGTGGTTTTTGACAATTTCTAAGCTTGGGCCTCTAGAAATCCAGGTTTTCCGAAAATCCTTTGCTGGGCCGGTTTTCAGAAAACTGAGCCGGCCATTTAATGCAGGGTGTCAAAATACGTATAATCGTATAATCTGAGGCTTTATGTACTAGCCAAAACAATTCTAGAGATATGTTTGGGGGTGGGACAAAAGTTAGGGGTGGGATATTTTGATGTATTTTTCAAATTTCTTCTTTTAAAAATAAGCTGAAGCCTTGCTATTTACAGCATAACTTGTGCTACTTATTTGACATATATGGTAAAAAAAACGAGTTCTCAATTCCATGTAGTTCGGTCAGGGGAGAGTCAAAAGGGGGTGGGACAAATTGTATGTCACAAGCCACTGGACGTCAGTAAAATGTCAATTACGAAAAAACGAAAAAAGCTAGGAATTTGCGGTTTTCAACAATCTATAGTGCCTACTTTGGTAAATCTTTTCATGGAAAAATATTTGACTTAAATTACTTATTGGCTGCGCAATAGACTCAAAAGGGGGTGGGACACGATTTTTGAACTTTTCGGGCACCAGAAATTTCATCGAAGTTTTCACAGAAACTAAAAGAGATTAGGCAAAACTAGGACTGTAGATTGACAGAGCAGATAAAATACTGCACAAAAAGCAAAAAAGATTTTGTTCCGCTGCCCCTTAAGAGAAGAAAAATGTTAATTAAAAAAAAGAACGTACGGGAACCACTATGAAAAGAAGGGAAAAAGAACCCAAAAACAAAGTGTTTTGCTTACTGTACACTAGGGAAATAAGACAGAAAAGAGATCTTAGCAATATATATAGAGTAAAATGTCCGGAATAAAACGGCATAAGCTTCTGAAAGCTCGATTTAGTATTAACGGAGAATCATGCATTTCCATTAGCTTAAGTCGAACGGTACAAAAATCACCAGAATCACTCGCTGGATTATAACATAAATAGTGAGAGTTTGAACATTTTTAATAATAAATGTTCGTGTATCTTCACTTATAACTATTAAAATATTTAAATAATAATCGATAACAGTCGATGTTAATTCACATTTTACTGATAAATCATCTAATCCACGTAGACTAACATTTGATTGATTGATTGATTCATATTTTAGTAGCCCCAAGTAGATGATAGATAGTGAAATAAAGCAACACAAATATACATCTATTACATAAACCAAACAAAACAAAAACACGCTACTGGAAAGGCAAAAAAAGTTCTGAGAACCTATAAACTTTGCCACCTTGTTTTAAAACGATTAAAGCTCAAGATAGTTCTTCAGCTTTGTTTTAAACGATTTTATTGTGGGTGATGTAACAGCAGCTTCGGGAAGGGTTAAATTCCAGTCTCGGGTAACATTTTTGGTATTGTGAGTTAGTAATAAATATCTTGGATTTTTAGAGGTTACATAACACTCGTCTTTCGTGTACGTTTCATCGAAGCAGTTATCACCTGAAGTGTTCAAATCTAGTTAAAAAGAAGTGTTTGCAACGATTCTACAGAGTGTTCTTAAAAGATGTATAATGAAGGTGATGTTTGTTTGTTCTTTATTTTTAAACAGATCAGCAGATATACATTGCGATTTAGATCAAAAAGATTGTCGTATCAAAAACGCTGGCTGTAGCAACATTTCAGAGAAAATCGATTAGGGGTGGGACAGTTCTTTTGAACGCGAACTGGTACCAGTTCTTTTCAATAAATTAAAATTGAAATAAAACCGGTGAACCTACTTACATTGACTTTATGTAGCGCGCCAGAGGTAGATGGTGTCCTTAGTTGACTAAACCAAATGAATATAACTAGCTACATCCAATTTTGCCCAGTCAAACTTGGAATTGTAAGTTTGCCTAGGCAAATTCGGAATTTGCCTGGATTCCAACTTTGCCTACAACATATATATGTAAATGAAAACAAAGAGAAAAGAACGGCGGACTAATGTACATATACATATATATGCACATGTATATGTATTGTACGTACAATGTACAAGAGTGAATAAGTTACGGGTAAATAAAGGAGATGAACAGAAAAAGGAATAAAACATCACTATGCACATGTTATGGTTAGCGATGACGGACTGGTCTCCTAACACAAATGATGTGAAAACATTTTTTAATTTAAATCAACATATTGAAACATTACGTTTAACATCAATTCTAGGCGATGATGGTCGATTTTTATTTTATTTGGGACCAATACAAGATATACATGAATCAAGTATAAGTGTGGAAGAAAATGAACGTAATTCTACACTACAGAATTTGTTAGATAAACATATACGATTATATAAAGCAAATAGTAAGAAAAATTTTTAGACAAGAATATGACGAGTCCCATATGATGGCTTTTTGAGCCTAAAAGTTATTTTCTTCCTGTATTTCCAGTAGATGGCAACAGAAGAGGGCGTATACTGTTCTGCTTTTTGGTTCTTTCTCCCAAAGATTTTTGTAGACTAATCAAAAATTCCAGTAGATCACTGGTATGAGGAAGAATGCCCTTCACTAACTCCTAAGAAATATAAAGTAGTAAGTAAAACTCCCAAATTTTTTTGGGATGTTTGTTTTACTGGCCTACTGGATAAATTATCTAAAGCTTTCATTGCATTTATGTGCTTATATTTAGACAAACTCCATACAGAGTGGGTAAAGAAAGTGGATGAATTACACACAGACTACGCAAGAAAAATAGCCGCACTTAATGATGAAATTAAAAAAATGCATAAATAACATGAATACAAAATAAATGAAAGGACCCACACGTTTCAAGTTAGATATGATAAACTGAAGCAACAATGTGATATTGAAAAAGCCTATTTATACCGTTGTGTTGATACAGCACAATCACAATTGCTACAGAAAACGCAAGAAAATAATCGAATTAAATCAATCTCAGCGGGAAAACAAGAAAAAAATAATGCATTAAAATTGATATTACGACGAAAGACAGAAGAAAATCGTCGATTACAAAAAGAAACAATTAACGCATCAATGAAAAAAAAGACAACTGTTTTGGTAATAGTAACAATTCTGTGTATCTTCCTCTTAGTTATTCCACTGTTTCATTAGTAGCAAATAAAACGAATTCAACTTTGAATATCATATTGAATCCACACGAAGATTGATTCTTCCTACCTAAACCAATGTGAGATTCTTTGATCTAGCACATGCCTGACCGTGTATCTCAAAATTTCTAGTTCATTTTCCTTTTTTGTCGAAAATCTCGATGCTTTTTCAACGTGAAAATTCGGAAGATGGAGATATTCGATAGCGATATACATCAGTGATGTGTTATCAAGAAGTTTATACAATTGGGAGCTATACAATACTCATATACCACAATTGTCTTTAGATTTGTTGGGTTTATTAATAATCAAGGTGTCCGCTAATAAATAAAACCGGTGAACCTACTTACATTGACTTTATGTAACGCGCCAGAGGTAGATGGTGTCCTTAGTTGACTAAACCAAATGAATATAACTAGCTACATCGGTTTTATTTTATTTTGAATTCTTGAAAAGAACTGGTAAGCAGTTCTCATTCAACAGGAACTGAATTAATGGCCAGTACTTTCGACTAGTTCTTAGGAGCTGGAACTGTCCCACCCTAGAATCGATGATATAAGAAATTAATAACTTATATCTAAGATTTGGAACAAAATATTTCTGAACTAGTTTATTTTCTAAACTCAGAACTCCACCACATAAAACATCTAATTCAATACAAAAGGCAGAAACCCTTTTCTTTATAAATTTGTCCGTTATTAAGATGATGTCATCTGATTTACCTGCTGCTTACGCTTTTTTTGTTTACTTTGACAGTTGTACCACGATTTCAAAACGTGCAAACTCTTTACCAAGAGCGGGGGATGGCCGAGGAGGTAACCCCACCAATAATCGAAAACTCTTCTTTTTTTCTCACTATACTCATCAGTGTTTTCTTCTACTATAATGTATTTAGCAAAAATGTTTTACACTAGTCGCAATGAAAGTTTATCAACCCCCTTAAAAGCGCTGGCCCTGTCTTGATCGAAGACTTTTAATTTATATGTGCACTAGCAATGATTATATCTTGTAAGATGTTGGCGACCGACGCTATACATCGATCGAAATTGCGCTTTCTTCGCCAAACATTTTTCTCCACAATAATTGATTCTTTAACATTTTTCTAACAACTTGGTTTAGTAGAGCAAACACGCCGTAGAGGCGTTTCAGTTGAATTGCTCAAACTGTAAAGCTGCATATAAAGCTTTTATGTTTTCTCATTTTTGTCCAGTCGTGCCTTGCGTGCAAAAAGTGGGCAAAAAGTGGTAATTGTTAGGATAATGGTCGTAATAATTGCAACTACCGTTAATCCAATAATTTTATCGAAAACTGCTACAAACGCCACTAAGACTACCGATTCTTCAGTTGACTTTCGATCAGTTGTTACTGACACCAGGAGATAAAACAGATTCTTTGCTAGAGAACCAGACTCTACAGTTTGCCCTACGGGCAGTTTCGGGACAAGTAAACCTAGTAGCAGAATTTCGCGAGGAGCGCGAGAGCTTGTTAACAACGCCCAGTGGCAACGAACTCGAACTGCTCTCAGATTTGTTGCACAAAATGTACTCTTTACCGCCTTAAACAATCTTCCGCTGTCGTTCACTTTGAACAACGTGTTAAATTTGTTATGAAAGGAACTTTCTGATGGAGGATTAGAATGTAGCACAATAAACTTGTGGAAATCTCCCATTTCCTAACATCTCCGTAATCAATGGGACGAAACCGGAACAAGATATTCGTGCATGGAATTTTCAACTTGAGATCCCCACGTTCACATTATTCAGCAATAGGAGATAGATTTTATATTTATCCAAAAACATGGGATGTAAACAAGACTATGTTACATAGGAAAACGTCTCTCTTTTTATGCTATCAAATGCTTCTCTTTCATAGAACTACAAAGATCACACATTTCTCAAATGCAGAAATGCGAAGGAAAAATAGAATTTCAGATTAATCAGTTGTTCAAAAATAGTAAACCATTTAAATTTACAAAGAAATTAGTAAGTCACAGTTCAGCGGAAAATCTACTACTAGATCACCGATGGGTTGGAAGCCCCTCTAGTTATAACTAGTTATATGTCGTTGAAATGGAAACCATTTATTTTCACAGAACAGATGCCTAAAAACTATCGGTGAACCACTACCACGATTAATTGACATAGCCAACCCACAAATAAAAGCAATATCACATCTGCAAAATAATCAATTGATTCTCTAATAAGCAGTGGAGCCCGCTTGCTCTCACAGTTATTTATATACGCGACTGCCGCTGTATATATCTATTTTCATGTGGATATGCACATTTTCTCATCCTTCACAAAAAGTGTTTAGCGCAAAATAAACAGCTTTTTAATTCTCTAATGTTAATTAAATCTTACCTTTTACATCAAAAGTTATAAGTCACCTATTGTCATTCTAATTATATAGTATATTTCTTTTTCATTTTAGCCAATAATAACTCTAAAGCACTAACAAAATGCATTATACTGCTAAATGCAATCAGTGAGAAAATTTTTGTAATAGTATTAAGTGTTGGGTTTTATATTGAATCAACTTCTTTCTGCATACAAGAAGCCAACTATCCCGCTTCCAAAGTCTGCTGGATGGTATAAACTGCTAGAATGAAAGCTCTTGTAGGTAAGTATGAGGGTCAAATGTTCGAGTCTCAATATCTCAAGACAAGAAAAATTCATTAGCATTGAGTATTTTTCCGTCGTACTACTATGAGCATGGGCTACAAGTGAGGCAAGTTTGAAAGCAAAATTCGAAAGTCGGATTTTGCTCAAAATCCAAGCTCTGTAGGCAAAACCTGACTAAAAATCCAGTATCTCAGCAACAAAATACCATGGGCACAAACCAACTTAGGGTATTTCACTACTCACTAAGATTTACAAAATAAAAGTAGTCTGAGTTCAAAAGCGATTTATAACCTCACGAGGTTCCCTCGTTAGTCATTTGTGCTTCACAGTGTAATAGAACCCATTAGATATGTTGTTTTTATTTCAGTCTTTTTATCTGTTACAGCTTTGGCGTCAGAGGGCACTTTTACCAATTTTAAATATATATAGATTATTGACAACATTATTGAAAATATTACTAATTAATAAAAAACAATTTATTAAAACACATTTAGATGTAAATCGAATGTATATTGTCGTAAGTTAGTATTTGACAACCGCTATTTTTACCAAAGAAAGTCATACAATCTTTGAGATTCACAGACTGTTTATATTCTGTGTTTTAGGAATCTTTAGAACATACAGAGTATTTTATTGAAAACTATCTACGAAGTGATGGGATTCTAATGTTTCATTTATATCAGACGGATCTCAATGCACCAATATAACTGAAAAAATTATAACTCGATTGTTCAAAAACATTTACTGTTGAGCTAATAAAAGTTTGTAATTTTTGTCTTTTTGTTTGGTTTTGCTTTTGTTTTACAAATTGTTTCTTGACATTTTTTAGTTCGAGCTATTATTTGTCTTTTGTTATTTAATTTTAGTATTCCTGCTTCTGACTTTTTTTAAAGAAAGACTGAAAAACGACATCGCATTTTCAAGACTAGCGAGGAAGCATCCGTAGGTGGACAAAAATTAACGGTACGTATCTACTCAACTTTTAACTGAGCTTCACTTCTCTGAATAACGTTGTTGCTACGGGGAAATCATGTCCAACACTTTTGCCTCTTTGATCATATTTTCTGCATCCATGAATTTTTATTGGCTTTTATTTTAAACCAATAACACTATTTTTATTATCGTGGTAGGTCATTATGTTGTGATAGCTTGAGTCACGTGTGAGTAAGAATATTTTCTGTTTGGCGAATAAATCAGTATTTTCGTCATTAGGTGGTTTGGCTCTGAAAATTTTTGTTTTACACCGGGTTGCTGAAAATGAGGACTTCATGTGTATTCCATAAGTTCTCTACTATACTAATTGTTGAAGAATGCTGAAGATACACCGCATATTTTTCGCACTACGCGAAAAAAGTATGGCATACACACCTTGCACCACTTTAGTTCTAGCTAGACTGGTCAGGACTTCGATCATTTTAGAAATGTCGGACAAAAAAATTTTAAAGGTGAAAGAAAATTAGGGATAGATCGGTGAGACATACACTTAAAACGCGAGTGTTTTATTGGAGCGCGGTCTCGATTTTTCATTACTGGCTAAAAATACTGTTCAACGTAATTGATAATAATCAGCGAGCACACTATTTTATGCCGGACAATATTTGCCACTAAACCAATCTTTTTTAAAAAAATCATTTTGATAAAATATGAGAATAAAAATCTGTACATGGTACTTTACTGCTCCATCGAACCTTACATTCAATTGCAGAACGTTTATACACATTTTGAATCCTAACCAGGGGTCTCAGATTCGCTGACTCATGAGGGACAACAAAGGAATCACCAGACAGTCCTTTGTTCTATCCCCAACAAAGGACTGTGATGATGATTCCTTTGTTCTATCCCTCATGAGTCAACGAACCTGAGACCCCTGATCCTAACATCCATTTGAATATCTAACCTCTAGTATTTCGTACGTAAATATATTGTTTTAACGTACGCATTTGAGCGTAGTAATGGAAAAACAAACTACATATTTCCATATTTTTACATGAATTTTGATTTTAAAGAATAAATAAAATCAGTCGAAGCATTTATGAACTTTGTTTTCAATACTAGCTGTTGCTTTTTTTCTTATTAATTTTTTTTGTCTACTTATCATCGCTTTAGTGTGAATTTAGAACTCTTGATTAAGCACATAATGCACCCTCTGACAGATGAGTTTCTACGAAGCAGAAATCATGCTATCGAGAAATAGTACCTTCCACTGAGGGATATATGACACTAATTCTTCTAGTTTCTAAGTTGCAGGATGGTAGGAGATTTACCTTATTGTTACAACATGATTATTGTTATTTGTTGTCTTATTTATTTTGTTTTAAGTAAGTGACATCTTTTGTTTCAATTAATACTTTGGCCAAAATGTCTGTTCCCACAACAACACAAATAACCAGTTTACTGGATAAAATGACATCAAATGATAAGGATTTTCGATTTATGGCTACAAATGATTTGATGGCAGATTTACAAAAAGAATCGATTAAATTAGATGATGATAGTGAACGACGTATTGTTAAAGGTGTATTAAAATTACTAGAAGATCATAATGGTGAAGTACAAAATCAAGCTGTGAAATGTTTGGGACCATTAGTATGTAAAGTGAAAGAAAATCAAATCGAAGTTGTTATCGATACATTATGTACAAATATATTTAGTAATAATGAACAATTACGAGACATATCAAGTATCGGTTTAAAAACTGTTATCAACTCATTAGCTTTTTTGCATACATCAACAATGGCAACAAATATAAGTAGAAAAATAATGAGTCGTTTAATTAGTGCCATACAACGTGAAGAACAACAACAACAAGGTAGTATGAGTGCAGATGATTTGAATAAAAATAACATGTCTTATTCATTGTTTTATCCTAAAATAGGTCAACAAACAACGAAAAGTGGTAGTGGAGCAACAGGAGCAGATACATCGATTATGATTGGAAATGGTGGACAAAATCAGTTAGAAATTTTAGATATAATTAGTGATATGTTAGCACGATTTGGCTCAAACTTATCATCCTTTCATTTACAACTGAAACAAATCTTGCTTAATCATTTGAATTCATCACGTTCGGCTGTTCGAAAACGTGTTACAAACTCATTAAGGTAAATAAAACTTGCAGAGTTAAGACTTCACTTTTTGAATAACTAGGAGCATAGTAATGGATTGAAGATGATGTTGACTTTCGGTCGGACCCATTCTGATGATTTTTCCTCTCGTTTTCGTTTATTCCTGACAAACTAACATTATTAATGGAGTCCAAGAAGACAAGTGAGATTGAATATACAACGTTTAAAGTTGAGTGTTAAATGTTCCTATTCAGTCTAATCACCAACACTGATAATACTTATTTATTTAACACAATTTTTCTTCTATTTAGCTATTTATTATCATCGTGTAACATTCAATTGTTCAACGAAGTTTTAACAATAATATTAGACGAATTAAAACGTAAACCATCGTCAGCCAGCAAAAAAATACCATCGTCTTCATCGACAAATAACAATATGACAAAAACATATATTCAAGCGTTAACATCAATATGTCGTTTGGCATCACAACGTTTAAGTGATCATATGCGTGATGTTATTGAAATAACCGTATCTTATATTGATAATAGCTCTAATTCTCAACAACAACAGGACGACGAATTGATTGAATATTCTTTACAAGCTATTGAAACATATTTAAAACGTTGTCCGAAAGAAACAAATGAATATGTACCAAAAATAATTGATTTGTGTTTAAGATATATTAAATATGATCCAAACTGGAATGATCAAGATGATGAAGATGAAGGTAAGTTTTCGTTATCTTTATTTCAAAAAATGAGTAACAGTAAGAAGTAGCATCTGACACGAACAAAAGAACTACTTATCAAATGTTGAATGTGATCTATTTTTTAGATAATGCAGATGTAGATGAAGAAGATGATAGCGAACAAGATGACAAAGGCCAAGATGATTATTCGGATGACGATGACGTTTCCTGGAAAGTTCGTCGAGCATCAACAAAATGTTTGGAATCTGTTATTATTACACATCATGAAATGCTAAATGCTTATTATAAACAAATTGTACCAGTATTAATTGAACGTTTCAATGAGCGAGAAGATACGGTTAAAGGCGATATATTTCATTGTTTTAATACAATATTACAACAAACAAAAGCCTATTATTCACATTCAGCAACTAACGAGCAATTGTCAATTGAGCCCACTGACGATAGTATGGATACGGATGTTGTTAGTGATGAAAAAGATCAAAATCCAATTGTACAATTAAAATATTATATACCAGCAATTGTTAAATCATTATCAAAAATAATGAAAGATAAAAATACAAAAAATCGTGAAAATGCTTTTATTGTTCTAACAAATCTTGTTCATGTTCAACATAATTTATTGAGTGAACATATCGATGTTATTTTACCAAATACATCATATTCTCTATCAACTGGTGCTAGTACAAGTAGCACAAAATCAATAAAGTCAAATAAAACGAACGCAACTCTAACATCGTCAGCAGCAAAAACAGCCACACATTCAAATTTAAAAATAACGGCTTTAACGTTTTTATATTCACTGTTACAATCTCATGATGATACAACAAAATTTCATAAACATATTAAAACGATGTTACCGCTCATTATTTTACATGCCAATGATCCATTTTACAAAATAGCTTCGGAAGCTTTACTTGTACTACAACAATTCATTAAAATAATAAGACCAAATGAAACGATGATTAATCAGGATTTTAAACAGTATGTCAATGAAATATATCAATGTACACAAAAACGATTGAAACAAACAGATATTGATCAAGAAGTTAAAGAACGGGCGATTACATGTTTTGCTCATGTCATTGCTTATTTAGGTAAGATTTATTTTTTAAAAAAATGAACTTGACAAGATTAATGACAATAATAATCATATTTTCTTCTTTTAGGTGATTTACTTCCTGCCGATTTACTTAATTCATGTTGGCCCCTACTCGAGGAACGTTTGAAAAATGAAATAACACGTTTGCCAACCGTTCGTGCATTAACAAAAATCATTGAATCACCTTTACGTCTTGATTTACAACCGGTGCTTGTTTCAACAATTCCAGTATTATCATCTTATCTAAGACAAAATCATCGTACATTAAAAATGAATACATTAACATGTTTGACTTCAATTGTGAATTATTATTATCCGGTTAAATATTTAACAAATGATTTAATATGTACAATCATCGTTGAAATTCCAAATTTAGTTACAGAAAATGATCTATTAATATCACAATTAGCATTGAAATTAATGACTGTTATCTCTATTAAACAACAGGCAATCGATAAACAAACGATTCAGTTAACTCTAACGCAAGTTCTAACGTTAATACAATCACCATTATTACAAGGTACAGCATTAGATTCGGTTATTGAATTTAGTCAAGCATTAGTGCCTAAAACGATACCCTATAAAGATTTTGTTAATATGCTAATTAAACCGATATATCAGCCTATTCCAACAAGCAGCGTTCAACCACCATCATCATCATCATCCTCAACAGCCACAGTATTAGGACATGATTTACAAAATTCATTAGTTGTACATAAACAAGCATTTTATTCAATAGCTAAGTGTTTTGCCGCTGTAACAGTAAAAAATATAAACGAAGGACAACATTTCATCAATAAATTTCAAGATGATTTAAACAATCAGAAAACGAGTGATTCGATCAAAATTTTAGCATTATTATGTCTTGGAGAAACTGGTAAGTGAAGAGAAACGTTTTTTTTTATCTTGCTGAAATCAACATGAATTTTTAGTTTTTACAGTATTTGTTTCTAATAATTACTTTCTTATTATTTTAGGCAAGCATACAGATTTGGTTCAATCATCATCAAATTTACAACAAATTATTTTGGATACATTTTCATCATCATCTGAAGAATTGCGTAATGCTGCTTCATATGCATTAGGCTATATTGGCATTCGTAATTTAGATAAACATATACCATTTATTTTAAATGAAATAACAACAAATCAATCAAAAAAACAATATTTATTATTACATTCATTAAAAGAAATCATTACCTATCATAGTCATACTCAAAATGATAATTATAAATTGTTACGTCCATATATCAATGATATTTGGTCAGCATTATTTGCTCACTGTGAATGTTCTGAAGAAGGTACACGAAATGTTGTTGCCGAATGTTTAGGTAAATTAACGTTATTGGAACCAGAAAAATTATTGCCAATATTACGTGAAAGTTTTCTAAAAAATCAAACTGACGATAAAGCACATGTACGTAGTACAATATTAACAGCAGTCAAATTTACAATACTAGATCAACCGCAACATATTGACAATATTTTACGTTTATATATTAAAGACTTCTTAAATGCATTGGAAGATCCTAATATTCATATTAAACGTGTAGCATTAGTCTTGTTCAATTCAGGTATGAAACAAATTTAATTTAGTCTGCTTAGTGAACTGTACTCTTGTTTATCCATTTGTCACAAATTATTCAATTTTCAAATCGAAGGATTTAATCAGTGAAAAAATTGAAAATCAAATAGACTTTTACACATCAGCATGCACATAACTGAGGTTGCAATTTAAAATTTTGTACATATTACATATATACTTCGCAACTCGATTCGCTTTTTGTTTATTAGTGGAACTTTTTCATAATTAAATATTTGCTTAACAGCAGATATATCTAGTTATCTCACAGAGAGAGAGAAGTTGAATTGAAAAATACGTTCTTCATCAATTAAATCTTCTTTCTTTGTTTTAGCTGCTCATAATAAACCGGTGTTAATTCGTGATCTATTAAAAGATATTTTATTAGAAAAATTATATCAAGAAACAAAAGTTCGTCCGGAATTAATTCGTGAAGTTGAAATGGGTCCATTTAAACATACTGTTGATGATGGTTTAGATTTACGTAAAGCTGCTTATGAATGTATGTACACACTGTTGGATACTTGTTTAGATAAATTAGATATATTTGAATATTTAAATTATGTTGAAAATGGTCTAAATGATCATTATGATGTGCGTATGTTAACATTTTTAATGGTCATTCGTATTAGTGTTTTAATGCCAAATATTGTTCTACAACGTCTGGAACGTTTAATTGCACCATTAAAAAAAATAATTGATACAAAAATAAAAGCTAATAGCGTTAAACAAGAATTTGAAAAACATGATGAATTAAAACGTGCAGCGATAAAATCATTTTTAGCATTACAACAAATTAAAGATGCTGATAAATCAACGGCTGTTGCTGATTTTTTAAATTTTATTAAAGCATCATCGGAACATAATCAAATGTATGAATATGTACAACATGAACAACAGCAACAAACAATTATAAACACGAATAATAATTCGGCAGAAATGATGGATCTTTCTTAAAAATGATACATCGATATTTAGAAAACAAATATATATTATTATCATATATTCTTTGACTATTTCTAATGTTGTGTTTTGTAGTTGCCGGTGAGCTTAAAGCTACTTAAACCCGTCAACTAACATTTTTTAAAAGAGAAAAATACCTAAGTGTATAAGTCATTGTCCCACAGTCTGGGTTTTTATGAACTGTGTGTGTGTGTGTGTGCGTATGTGTGAAAGCGAGAAAGTGAGAGTGTGTATGTATGTCTTTTTTTTTTGTCTTTCTGATTTCTTATATTCACCTTTCTGTTAAGAAACAAACAAAAAATAAATTATTCGTGTTCGGCAAAATGAAAATGTGATTTGAATTTATATTAATCAAACAATTATTTTTCACATTTAATACAAATTATGAAAGTTAATGTTACACAAAAAGTGACGATCAATTTTGTCTAAAATAATATCATTATTAAAAGTTAAGCGATTGAATTAGAATGACAATAGTAGAACAAATACAATTTATTTAAAGATATTCAACACTAAAAAAGCATTTTATTTTAGACTGAAAAATTGAAACAATCAAACTATGAATATATGAAGTATACAAATAACGAGGGAAGGACCTCAAGTGTTACTCTCACTTTTCAATGGGACATATTCTGCTTTGTAGAGCTCGACGAGCTGATTACGATGGCATAAAGCATTTCCCCCCATAGCTCTTTAAGATCCGATTTTCTAGAAAACCAGTTTTTTAAAATAACCAAAACGTTTCTTGACGAGGCATAATTGTAGTGCGCACATTTCTGATTAAAATGAGACATCTGCCACCTCTACACGACCTTTCGTTGCAAAGTTATAGAATTTACAAGAAAAGCTCTAAATTAATTTCTTCTTATTTCTGTAGCTTTGAGCTGACAATGAACATTTAGGACCTTTCTTGTAAGATCTATAACTTTGCAAAGAAAGCTCATGTAGAGCTCGGAGATATCTCATTTTAATCAGAAATATGCGCGTTACAACTATGATTCATTAAGAAAAGTTTTGGTTATTTTTTAGAGTTTCTGAAAACTGGTTTCCCAGAAAAACGGGTCTACAAGAGCCATGAGGAAAACTGCTTTATACCATCGTAATAAGCTCGTCGAGCTCTAAAAATTAGAAAATGTCCCATTGAAAAGTGAGAGTAACACTTGGGGACCTTCTCTCGTAAGCAAGAATTTATCAGTATTTGTATTTTTTTGGTAGAAAATGGATTTTTATTTTGTGTAGATAGACATACCCTTAAAAGAATTTATGTGGAGAAGTTTTTCAGGCTCTGTTTCTTATTTTTCATTATCTATCTATTTGGTAAGAAATACTAGGAAATAAATGTGCGCTTCGTGAAAGGCATATTTTTTATACGGCACACTTTTTTGCCAGTCAAGAGCAAAGTTTTTTCGGATAATCTCGAAAATTAATGTAAACATAAAGGTATCGATTACGCTGTATCTTGTACCAATGTTTTGGTTATAAACTCTGCATTGATTTTTTTCTTTGACAAGAAAACACAAGGTTGAAAAAACCGTCTGGAGAGAAAAAAATGAATACAAAATTTCTAAGTCTTGATTTTACCCATTTACTCATGTTCGAAATATTTCGAATGATTTGGTTGTAGTTAGAACGATGTATGATTTTTTTATTTTTATTCGACACTATAGTGAATGACTACTTCGTTATGAAATCTAATTTAACAAATCGATTGCGTTCACACGTCACAATATTGAAAAGTCTGAGATAAAAACGGTTTTCAATTTTTTATATGAATAAGAAGTCAGTTAATTGATGATCTATAACACTATCATAGTCGTTTTCTACATCTACTGTCTCGTCGTATTTAATACATTGTGTTTTTGTTACATAATCTTTTTACAAGTGATTAACACGTTCTAACTGGTCTATCATACAATAATAGTACTTTAATATGTAAACATTGAACTTTTCTTTTTTGTATGTGTTAAAATGATCAAGATTTGAATGAACAATCGAATACAAAAATCTCATTGTTCAACGTACTAAAATTACATAAATACATTTGATTACCTTTCAGACTAACAAGAGAAACAGAACATATATATTATAACGGTAAGAAAACTAACATCTATGCATGTCAAAATGGGAAAATGTCATCAATTAGTATTGTAGTGAGTATGCTTCTATTGCCATTCGTCTTTATACAAATTCTGATTTGAAATTAAATTGGGTAACATTGTATTCTGAATGAATACTAAAAATATTTTAAATCTACAGTCTTTCGATCTTTGAAGCTTTCTTTAAGCAAAGAGAATTTTTGAAGCATTATAATCAGCTAGTGTCAAAGGTAGCTAATAAATAGTCTATTATTTTGTTGCGTAAGACAGAAAAAAGGAAAGGACAAAACAAGTGATGCATGACAAAACGTACATTTGAATCATGCCAAACACATAATGATGCGACCTCTACTGTTTGAATGTTAAAATTTTTTTGTGAACCTCGATTACATCTGTCTGTTTTGTTCTTCACTGGAAGTGCAGGTATATCACTTAGGTAGAAATCGTGTGGAAGTAATAAAAACCTTCATTTATATTTCCAGTCGAAAGAGCTACAAACGGTTATCATTACTGGCATAACCTACTATTTAAACTCGATTTATCTAATTATTAAAGCTATACATTTTGAATAAATATCAACAGATTGCAATGTCGAGTATATTACAGGGAAAAGTGATAGTATGAATGGGTCGAGCGATATCAAAATTTTCACGTACGTTAGGTTTCTCGGAACCTAATACATCATTCTGTGCTCTAAATGTACTGGGAACTCGTACAAGTGCTCTATCGGCTGAGCCTGCCATTCAACAGCAGAATACAACGATCGATCAACTGTCTGGCAATGTTCCCATTACTCCGCTTCCAAGTAGACTGGCTAATGAGTTTGGCTTAAACGATACGAATGAATTCAATAATCATAATTTGAGACGACGACCATCAAATGAACTGCAACAGCGAGGAAAGAGAAAAGGACAAAAATTGCCATCTCGTCGTTTAAATATATCACCGAATATGGCCAAACGATTAGATGGCTCGACTAAACAACGAAATAGAAGACGTGATCAGAGTTCACGAGCACAACCGCGTTCATTCAACATCGAGAAAAGACAAATTTATTTGCCTGAAGTGAATAACGGTATAACAGAGAGAAATATAGTTCCATTAATAAATAATAATGTTAAAAGACGTCCGCCACGTCATTTGTTGGATTCTACCGACAAACAAAGAATTGTACGTACATCATCGAGACAAACTACAATTCCTCAACGTCTCTATGATCTCCTTCAATGTCCAGTTTGCTTAAATGAATATGTTGATCCACACTTCATACCTTGCGGTCACACATATTGTTATTCTTGTCTCAATCAATTAATTCAAAATAATAATATTCTTATCTGTCCTGAGTGTCGAAAGAAACACATAGTTCCACAAGAAGGATTTCCCTCTAATTTTCTCGTCAGAAACTTGATCGAAGAAAATTTACATTCAATTAGTGGCAAATGTACAGAATGTAAACTATTTACAGTTTTAAGACCTTGTCGACACTGTGGTTTTATGATATGCGATAGATGTTATCAACGTCACAAAGATACTAAATTAGCACATAGAAAGTGTGAGTACAGTGTACAATTTTATTAAGTCACAATTTTTTAGATTGAAAACTATATTTCCGTTCTTAATTATTATAGCAAATAGTGATATTTCGCAATCATGCATTATCGATCTACCTTCGCAACATTTATCTCTAACCAAATTGAATCGACAATTATCAGAGTAACTTCTGTTTCAAATAAAATAATGAATTTAAGTTTTATGTCTTTTATTTTCATTTTAGTTTGGATGGTGAGAAGATTATTCATCTTTTTGTTGCTGTTCATAAATTATTATTTGATGTTTCACAAGTCAAGCAATTAATAGTTGCCATACCAATAGCAAATTTTTTGAAAGATCCATCCGCTGTTCTTACTCAACGTATTGCAAAACGAGAAAGACTCGGAGTATTTGATCAACTCGTTTTAGAATACGATGGCAAAAGAATTCGTTTTAATCGAACACTACATTCTTATGGTATTGAAGATGGTGATATTTTATACGTGTATAATAATCAACAATTCGGTAATCAATTGACTCATTTATGTGATAATGACAATACAACGAGAGTAGTGTCACCAGGACGAAGAAATAGAAATATAACGAATAATACGAGAAATAATGTTGAGTTATTATCTTATCATTCATTGAATGGTGATAATTTACAAACTAGTAGTACTAGTATAACTGGCAACAGTAGTGACATGTCTAATGGGAGTCATGTTTATACTCAAACATCACACTCACTCTCTTCACCAGTCTTTAGATTAACAAAAACATTGCAATCCACTTAACAGAAATGCGTACTTTATCTAATACGAATGAATAAAAACCATTATAATAGGTATTTCAAAGAAAATTTTTTTCTAGCAGTTCTAGATCTACCTTTTTTGTGTGAAAGATGTACTTTAATATTCTTGACAATTAACTTATTGGGAAATTCATTATACAACATGTACGAATATTACTGAGACGATCTGGACGGACTACTTTTTCAAGTACTTTTTGAACGAATTCAAATGTTTTCTCTTAAATGCTCAATCAGACGTCAGGATGTTTCAAATTAGGGTTTTCTGATGCTTCATACAAACCTTGTTTTACGATACAAAGGATATTTTTATAAAAATTCACTGAATAACAAGAAAAACTGGATTTTGTCGTTCAGCGTCTTGAAATAAAAGAGTTAGTATTCGAATATAACAGACGTCTTGTTTAAAATAAAAAAATAAAGAATCTTGAAGTTCAACAATTTTATTTTGAAAGAGTAATAAAGATTTATACAATAGTGCGAGGCTGCTGTGAGAAAATCATAATTTTTGTGAAAACGAGTGAAAAGAAAAAATTTATTCAATCGATTGTTTTGTAAGAAACTTTTAATTGTAGGTAGAAAATAGAGTTTTTCAAGACTACAAAATGACTACTTACATTTTCCTATATCTTAACAAACAAAGAAATAAAAAAATTGGAAAAACTGATGTTTTGGATTGGAAAGTTGTACTTAAGTTTAGATCTTCTTACGAGGGAACCGTTCCACGTGATTCACTCCGTTTTCAACCACGTTTTGCTGATATGTAGAGTCTATTGCCCTGGGAAAAAGCCTAAAAGGATGTGGGACCATGTTGCTTCTTTCAAGAGTTATTGAATCTTCTCGTTTCGATGAGGAGGGCGATCCCTAACATTAAATTATTTATAACTCAGTCAAAACAGCGAGTTTTTTTGCTGTCAAAAGTTTTTTCTCATTCAAAAAAGCTCAAAGTTTTTTCTCATCACAGCCTAGTCATCTATTAATAATTCCTAAAGATTCAAACCTTTAGCTGTTATACTGAATGAATAATTGAATTTTTACGTTTTTGCCTAAGCCTAAGTCTAATCAGTCTATAATTCGGTAACCTGGCTTGCGTCCGGATATCTTGAAACGGATCCCGGACCATTCCAAAATGTAAAAGAAATATATTTCTCGTTTACAAATGATCACTGTAAAGTAAATGACTACGACGAGTCTGCATTTATAAAATGAGAAAATAGTTCAATGTGTCAGAGTCTACTATAGACCTATATTATTGCACAGTATTTTTTGACGTTAGAATCAAGAAATAAAAACGAGAAAAGACAAATCACTTAGGCAAAAACGTAAAAATTCAGTTATTCATTCAGTATAACAGCT